TCTACCTTAATTGCACAGATACAAAGGCAAACTCCATTGACGTCAGTGCAGTTATCTGGGTTTTATTAATATCGGATAAATATAAAAAACAGTATCAAGCAAAAATTCACAGAGAATAATAAAACACCCACACAAACCTCCTGCTGAGTTGTTCCTGGTGGTGGTACTTCACTTACTTGCAATGTATGGCTGAAGTGGCTATGGTTCTTGGACCAAAGCTCTCCTTTGCGTCACCTCTTTCCCCCTTGAGAAAGAAAACACTGTGCAGAAAACAGCTCTACCACCACGGTAATGGGGTGAGATTACCACTAGAAAAAACAGCACTCTCCAGCTCCAGCCTCAGAAAATGTCAGCATCCTGGGGAGCAGGAATAGGCTCTGCAACCTCTTTCCCCTCCTCGCAGGTGTGGGGCTGCCTGTGTTCAAGGTCAGCTCCAACATGGTGCAGCCAAGTGACCTTGGAGCTGAGCAGTGTGGAAGGAGCAGTGTGAGAAAGCCCTGAGAGAAGCCCTCTGGGGCCTCCCCACCTCAGCACTTACGTGGGGACTCTCATAAAGCTTGTGCACCCCTGCCCAGCCATGGGCCTTGCTGATCCCAGCCTTGCCTTACTGACCTGACTTCCTGGCTTCACCCTAGACCTGTCCCTTCACAAGTGAGCTGCATGGCCAGCACTGGAAGCTAATGGCATCCCACTCACAGAAATACAGGACTCTGCTTTTTGCTGTGGCTAAAATACTGAAGAGCCTCAGCCATTGAGCGAGCAATGACTTTGAGGCACGTGCAAGTAGACAAACTGACATTAGGAAAAGATGGCTTAGCATTTATTGGATTTGCCAGACACTAATTACAAGAGGAAGAACAATTCCCTCTGTTACACTTACAATGATGAGCTGAACCTGTTTCTTGCGTTCCTAACCCGAAACACTGAACATGTTTTTTTCTTTTGCTCTGAAAAAAATTGAGGAGTTTTAGAATTTTACTGAATTAAAAGCAGCATCACCTGAGTGCTGGAGCCATGTCCTTGATGGATGTCAGCTGCAACAGCTCTAAGGAAGCTGTGGAGATACCCTGGTGCTGGTCTGCACTAGGTAAGAAAGTGACATCCTGGGAAAGCTGCTCAGTGGCCCCAGAACAGCTCCTCTCCAATTCCAGGTCCAAAGACGAACTCCGACACCTCCGTGGCAGCAAGATGATCGTCTTTGAAGTGAAAAACACAGACAATGTCAGCAGCCTGTCGAGCACGTAAGCAATCTCAGTGGCTTCAACAGCTTCATAAACCTTAAGCTGAAATTTAAGCATGCAAACAGTATTCACATACAAGGCTTAAAAGAGCATTGTTTTCAAGCTGCTTTTTGTTGTCTTCACTTCTGGGTTTTCTGATATACATCTTCATGGTTCAGTGGTGTGACCGAATGCCAAGGAGCCAATCCTCAGCAACAGCCCTCTGAGGCTTTTTGAAGTTATTAGTTTGAGAAGAAAACAGCTGGAAGACTAATTGGTGGGTCAGCTACTTTTGTTCCATCTCTCCTTGCCATTTCCCTTCACTGCTTTCACTGGGAGCCCAGAGTTCCTGTGACCTTCATTACTACCCTGCAGCAGCCCACAAATGAAAGCATAGCTTCGTTACAGATTGCTACCTTAAGTACTTTTCAGCGGCACCTCTTCTTTTCAGACACTAAGGTTCAGAACTTGCACAACTGAATACACCCACATGCTAAGCATTATTTATTAGAGTTTTAAATCAATTCTTTTAACTCTGTGGTACATCTGGACAGCAACAAATCAACCGAGCTGTTTGATTTGGGTGGAGATTTGGATCTTCTGGCAACCCTCAACCCAAGGAATGGGAAGATCTTAGCAGAGAGGAATGACAGACTCATGGTAATGCCTCACACAAGCGATCCTGCAGAGTCGATCTCTGGGAGCATCACATTGTGGTTATGCTGGTGGGGGAAGCTGCTGCCACAGTGAGGGAAACAAAAAGCATTCAGCACATTCGTTCTTCCTGTTGCGATGCCTTCAAATCCCTTTTCCTTATCTTTACTGAGTGCCTCGCTCCAAGCTCGAGCTGTGCACTCTCGGGAGCAAAGAGCATACTTTTATATAATACGTGTCCTACCACATCCAGCTGGGGAAGAACTGACCTAATGACAACTTTTAGGCTTTCATTGATAAAAGTAAAACCAGCCAACTTTACTTCTTACGTGCACAACAGTCAGGATTTCAAGCTCCATTTGAAGCCTCTGAGCCCCTTTCATCCACTCATGGTGCTGTCCTGAGCAAAGCTGTCAGCTGAGCAGCTCCTGTCACACTGGATGACGAGGAGCCGCTGCTGAACTGCAGGGTCCTGCAGGGAGATGAGGGTTTGTAAAGCCAAGGATAATGGACCTGCCGCTAGACCCTCCACCTGCCAAATGGCAGCACTCACACTGAGCTTCTCAAACAGACTGTACAACATGAAGTGAGGGAAATCACCCAATGCTGTTTCCTTTCTGGGTGCCAGGAGTCTCTTTGAAGCCTGGAGCAGAGTGCATCTAAAATCCAAGCTGCCTTTTGAAGATGTACTTGTTACTTTTAATCAGATAGCAGTGGCAATACATTTAAAAGATCATGAAACTTTTAAGTCAGGCTTCTTCCTTCTCTAAAGAAATACAAGACAAATACTCAATTTTTATTTGCTGGTGGAATCATCAGTTAATGATCTGAGACAGAAACAGCAATCTGCATGTGAAAATAGGGTGAGAAGTGTAACTCAGTACCAGGAATTTCATAGTGGTGGCCTTGGTGCTCTCAGAAGCCTCCACTGTGTCTGAAATTAGGGCACCACTTTGTAATGCACTTAATCTGATCCACCTGTGGCCTACTACACACAAGAATGCTTTCAGTCCCTGCATGCTTCCACCATGTTTACTCCAAATCTATCATCATATAGCTTTGCTATGGCATCACCAGTTCACTGATCCTATGAAAAACATTTTTGGGTGGATTTGTTTCCTAGTTTCCCTACTGGAAGGAACAGGTCTGTCTTGCTAGTCTCTACATCTTGGGGAAAAAAAAAACAACCCAGAGATTATCCCCATTGGTGGCAGCCTGCAATTATGATCAAGTCTGCTCTAAAATGGGACTGACCGCCCCCAAAATGGTACCTCACTGTGTCGCAGCTGGGAGCAGCCACCACACAACAGGTACCTCAGACAGACAGAAACCTTCCAGTCACATCCTAGAGACAGCACCAACCCGGATCCGCAAAACCACACCTTCAGACCATCGGCACAGAGCAACTGATGCTGTCAGTGAGCTGAGCTGACCTAGACTAGCTCAGAGCCAGGCTCAGAGAGCCGGGAGAGGTTCTGCCCACGCTGCAGAGCTCCCTGGGGCAGTCAGGTAACAGCCACAGCCTTTCTCAGCATGGTGGCTGTGACATACTCCCAGGAAAGAGCAAGGCTTCCCATTATTCCCTCAAAAGGAAGAACTCTGCTCAGAAAGGCAAAGATAACTCAAACCCCTACCTATAAAACAAGCCTAATATACAAGCATCCACCTCCCACTGCAGCAGGTATCAGGGAGGCACAATTTGAGATGTTTTATACCCACATCACCAACCCACCCTGCTACCATGTGACTAAAACCCAGCCCATAGACTTTTCTATAGCAGTACCAGGCAAAATCATCAGCTTTCTAACAGACATGCTGTCTTCAGCTGGGATTTTTTTCAGATCTCAACCTTCCAGCCTGGCAAGCAAACACTTGCCATGATGTGCTTGCAACAGTTCCATGGAGGTGTGTGCCTGCACAAGGAGGAAGCGGTGTATTCCTCAGAGGGCAGACAGGGATTAGTAATACGCCTTCCATGTTTCCAACATGCATGAGAATTGACACCTTGGAAATGCAAACACAGTTTAAACATAGCAGTGAACAGATTTTCTTTTAGACAGAAGAAGCCAAGAATAAAACCTGTAATTGTGGTTTTGTACTATTGCAATAAACCTCCACTTTAAATGAAAGGGCACTTTCAAATGGTTTCACCCTATCTTTCTAGTACTGTTTGCCACATGTGCTAGTGCCAAGTGACAGCTCACTGCCAGGGCCACGCACAAGTTCCTAGACCCCCCCCCCCCCCCCCCCCCCCAGAACAAAACCTGCAGCTCAAGGCACCCCTGATGTAACCATCCAAACACAATCTTCACCTGTGTCCGATCTGAAGTTCAGCTAAAATGATTTGACTAGAAAAAGCAGCTCTGTGCACTGGAGCCTTGACCTCTCAAAACTGCTCAGTGAATCTAATGAAAGAGACCACAAAAAGTAAACCCAGTCACTCTCTTGCCACTCCTATTTTCCAGAGCAGACAGTTGTGAATGGCAACACAAACCTTGCCCCGATCTACTCTTAGGCCCAAACCTGTCACAAACCATGTCACACTTGTTTTCTGATTTCAGTGGACCAGGTTTCTCTCTGTCCTGTTTCTCGAAGAATCTGATTCCTCAACACTGGCCTTCAGGACACTCACTTCCAGAGATAAGCAGGTCAGCTTTGGGGACTCCTGCACTCAAGGCACCAGATCTCACCTCCTCCCCAAATCACGCTAGAGCAGGACATGTCTGTGCCGCAGTGACCCTGACACCAACTACAGCAGTACCAGCTCCACAGCTCTAGTCCTGCAGTTGGAGCTGTTGAAAACTCCAGGGAAGGAAAAAACCCTACCAAACCAAAACCCAACTTCTGCAGTGAACACCAGTGGAAATATTTTTTAAGGAAAAAGCAGGCAAGGATCAGAATGCAGACAGCTGACTTCTGTTTTAAGAAGCTGGCAGCCACACACTGTAGATTACTCAACACCTGCTTCTTGCTTAGGTTTCAAATCTCCAGTGCTGGAACAGCCTCCAGGCTAAGGCTTTTTTTTCCTGTCTCATTCAAGAGTGTCGCTGCGTCTTCAACTTCGCAGATTTCAATGAGCTGTGTAAATACTTACTTGGAAAAGCAATAAGGGGGTTGAGTCACAAATGAAGATTGACCAAAACCAAATCCTTTATTTCCACAACTGTATAAATGTGCTCCAAGTATGTGTCCAACACAAGTTAGAAAAACAAAATAGAACATGCCAGTTGCAAACTAGATCAGTTCACTGACGTGCTGACTCCTTGGTATTAGGCTTAGTTACACAAGACCAGTCACAGTAAAAAGATACATTTTAGAGTACAAAGAGTAGCAGGATGTTAAGCCATTTCAGTTTGTGCACATACAAATCACACTTCTGGCAGAAAACGCAGAGAAGTTTGCATTACTATGCTGGAAGCTATGTTGCATCACTTTAAATGGCATCAATATCAATATCGTCATCTTTATTGTTTGCAGGCTTCACAGTTTCAACTTTAGGTACACTGGCAGTTGAAGAGTACACCACCTGTGAAGACAAGACACTTGCTTTTACTACAGCACCGACTGACACTAAGCACTGGACTAACTGTAACACCTACCCACCAACCACCCTCCTGTCCACGGTCATGACCCACTTAACATGCTGCTTTGTAAGGCAGAGCTGTGCATGTGTGTCTGCAGGAAGCAGGATCTCATACCCAAGAAGAGAAGTGTACAGTACTGGTAGGAGAATAACCAAATCACCCACATGCAAAACTTGTTCCAGCCACAGCCATCTGGAGTGTAACTAACAGACTTTATCTAGGCCTAAACTGTGAGGAAAATGGTCAGTTATTCTTTCATCAGCTGCTTTAACAAACATCCCCCCACTAACTCATTTAGAACATGCAGTTTTTTGCATGATACCTCCTGTCAACCTTCTACTACTACGTGAGCTGCTACTGTGCAAGAGACTGTACCATTCCAGAGTGACAGTCTTGGGCTATCCAAATGCTCTTACACTTAGTGTAGTGTAGCAAGAACGCTCTGACCAAGCCCTAGGAATGGAGTGTTCCTCCAGTTCCCAACGGGCACAGTAATACACCAAGGAAGCTATTTCAAATTGCACCAGGAAAAGGTTACAAGACTTATACATGCAGGAACAGTGCAGCCTTGGAGCTGACAATGAACTAGCCTTTCCTACCTCTATATTTTCATCTTCATCCTCTTCTTCATTACCGGAAGATTCTTCTTCAGCTTCCTTTAGCCATTTAATAAATGGTTCTGCTTTGACACGGATTTCTTTGGCAAGCTCCTTTGAAACGTATTTCTTTGAGGCCTGAAAGACACAGACTTTGGTTGAACGCTGAAGAGTTTACACCAGACCAAACACAGCAAGAACCCAACTTGGACCTCCAAACTCACCCACTGCCTTGAACAGCCCGTTTTTGGAAAGGTTTGTCTCAGCACAAGCTATCACACCAGAACACAGAAGCCAGGTGCAATAGACTACATTCAGGTACATAACACACTACCCTTTACCTTTTCTGCCCAGCTAAGGATGACTTCTTCTTCCAGAAGATCTGCATCATACATTTCCTTCAAAATATGTGGTATTTTCGAAATAAGCTGAGACTGATGCATGGCTACCACACACTCAAAGCCATGGAGAAGGTACCTCTGGGCTTTCTTGTTGTTGTGGCAGAACTAGAGTTGTGATAAATGCAAAAGGGATTCAATTAGCTTTTTGAATTCTTTGAACCTTGAATTACAAGGTTTACAGCAGTTCATACTATCCCTCCCAGCAGTTCTCCCTAGGTAAGGAGCAGTTTAAAAGCAAACCACTACAGTAAGTCTTCTTCCTCACAGTACCAAGCTATTGCTATAAAACACTCAGAACAGTGAGTGCAGAAGAAGGAATTGCTTACACGAAGGAAGTGACGTCTGTATTTTCTTATTTGTTCACGAATCTTTTCATCAAAAAGGACTTCAGTGAGAACTAGCGGGCCCATGGCCTTCACATCCAGTCTCTCTGCTTCTGCTACAATGTCTTTGTCTGAAGTATCAATGACACCTTCTTCCTTCTTTTTCTACAGCGAAACAAGTACAGAGAGAAACATTTTAATGCCACTTGAGGTCTGCGCCAACACTCTTTGCACCCTTCCCTTCCCACTGCTGGCAGAAACAGTGTTTTGATAGAAGCTTAGAGATGTTGCTTTTAGTTTCCTTACAAACACTTTATACCACTAAAGCAAACAACCAGAGAATAGTTACCTTCACAAAATCAAACAGTATGTTGACTCTCTCCTCCACGGTTCTTTCCAAGTCTTCACTAAGCGTGAGGTTCTTTGCATGGTCACTGATTTCATCCATTCTACGCCTCTGGGCTTCTTCTGTTGTGTCCTCACCCCAGTCATCATCATCCTCCTCCTCCTAAAACACAAAAGCAAACCAAGAGATTCAGTGTTACTGCAGGTTTAGTAATAGGCAAGGGTAGAAATGATACCAACTTGAGAGCATTTTTACAAACCTAAAGAAAGGTTTACAGTACAATTTGCAAGTCAAAGACCACAGAAAAAAGGAAAGAAGTAATGGAAACTAGAAGCTAGACATTAGTTTATAACCCTCCGTAAGGTTACTTCAAGTGCACTTTTACCTCTCTATATATATTCCAACATTTAAGTTTTGGAGACAGCAAGAGCTTTTGGTGCAATGTTGACCAGCAGGGAATGCCAGTGATTTTTAAGTTTTAAATCAGAACAAGACACCACACCCTTATCTCCCCACTTTCCCTTCTACTTACCACAACCTGTGGAGGAGTAATCTCCTCTGGTGGTGGGGGTGGAAGTGTCTCATTGCTGGACACAGAACCATTCTCTTTGTCCTTGCCTTTTCTGTTCTTCTTCTCCTTTTCTTTCTTTCCTGTACCAGTGTCACCACTTTCTGCAAGTGAATTTTAATGTTTGTTCTATGAACTAGAGCAGGCTACAAAATCCCTGCACCTCTGCCAAATCCCTATGTGGGTCTGGATGCTTTCATTAGCAGCAAGTTATGTGTAGTACCAATCCCCAAATACACTCAGGGCAGATGTACATCTGGCAGGGAAAAATCTGGTTCCAGTCACGGTCTTATTTCTCACCAACATTGTCCAAGTCTATATAACAGGTGACCTCACAAAGCAGAGACCCCTGGAATAGGTTAGACTTTTCTATTCTTGCAAGCTTAAATTGCAGCAGGCAACTAGATGCTTACCACAGAGTGTTGCTTGCACAGAACATTACCCTTTTTACTTCCTACTCTTTTACTTCACACTGATTTTAAGGAACTGCCAGGAGCTACTGCTAACTACCTTTCCTCCTCCTAAGTTGTCCTGCACGGGTAAATCCAGCTCTTCACAAATAGTTCTACCTGGGAGGACACAGCATGACGAGGAAAAAGACAGAGCACAGCTCCTCCATCCTGATCCCCAAACATACTCTAGGAGTAGGCTGGAGCCTTTTTACACTTCAACTAGCTGTGAGCTAATTATTTTTCCTTTTCATTAACAGCACTCATACACAAGTTCTCTTTACTCTCAGCAAGTAAGGAAAGGCACTTACCAGGTGGGTTTTTGAGAATGAACGTGCAGAGTTTATGGTTTGTGTCAAGCATGCCTCGATAGCCACAGGCTTTGCAAGAGTTACCTATAGTTTGTTTCTTAGGATTGACATGCTGCAAGAGAGGACAATCTTCAGTTAACATTTCATTTACAAAACAATTATGCATTAAAGCCTAAACCTGACTTTTACATTATCATCTCCACAGGATTAACGCAGAGGAAGTTAAGTAATAGCAATTTAGCTCAGCAGTTTTTAACAGTTATAGATTTAAAACTTTCCCAAAGAGCGTAAGCATGTGTACTGGGTTTTCTTTTCATATTCAAGTCAGCTTTAAACTTTGCACCACTTGCACAAACATGTAATGAAGTGTTTCCATAGTGTCACCATTAATACAGACAAGAGAGCACTCACCAGATCAGTTTCAGGATTCTCACACTCAGGACAGAGAACAAATTTTTTAATGAATCCATCCAACATGTCTTGCAGCTTATTCGCCTCATGAGATCCATTGACAATGTAACGGTCATTCTTAACATCAAACTGGGTCTGTGCTCCCAGCTCACAACCAAAAAATTTGGTAGGATCTGTAGAGAAAGCACAGGAGACACCACCTCCCTTATATCTTCAATGTGATTTTTAAACAGCCAGTAAATACACTATTGCTTCTTTCTGTTCATTATTTCATCCTGAGATAATCACATTTCTTTCCTACCAATCTTTAAAGAATGGTATTAATGCTTGATTAGCTATTAACACTACCACTTCAAACAGAAAAGCATTAAAAATGCTGTGTCACTCCACACTACTTACACGTTGGAGGCCGATTAAGCGCCTTTGCAACGTCAACCATGTTGACTATAACCGTCTTTATTCCATTTCCTTTGCCCTCCACCTAAAGAAAACAAATAGTATTCCAAGTCAAGTGACTGCAACAGTCAAACCCAGTCTGTATTCCCCATTTAACTACACCAGAATTCTGGTGAGAACTGCAGCTCCTTAGTCTGGACAGAAATAAGCAGACACCGTCCCCGCCTTTTGAGTGGCCAAGTATTATCATATTCTCACACCTCTTTCTCCTCTTGGGAGACCAAGTGGAGTGCTTCCCACTAATGCTTAGGAAGTTACCTTGGCAATCAGACGGGGCATTTTGTAGCGATAGAACTGATCTGAAACACTGCGGTTGACGTTGACAGACATTTTGCCTTATTAGTAGCTTTATCAATAAGATGAAGAGATCTTTGATTGCAGTTTTTTGGTATCTTCTGTCTGGAGAAGACGGGATGACATAAACGACTGCAAGAGTTCTCGGTCTCTGACATGAAAAAATTTTCGCCACTGAGGCTGTAAGGTTCTTGCTTGTACGCTATGTTTCCCCAATACAGGTACCAGTGGCTGCGCAACAGCTCTGCAAGTATTAAAACAGAACAAAAAATTCATTTTAGCTTAACGCGCATCAATCCGCTCTTGCTACAAAGCTATGCGTAGGTGAAATATAGGGTAAAAAAAAAAAGAAGTATGTTCTTTATGCTATAACTTTCTTCAACCTATGGAACTGAAAATAGCAACCTTGGATTGTACTGGTAAGGAATTTATCCTTAACTACACCTACGAAGCTTTCCACCCTCTCTTACTATCCAAAAACTAATGAACAGCTTAAGACTATTTTCTGTACAATTAACTCCTGCAGGAGTTCTGGGATCAGTAAGGAAGGGCACACTGCTTGTTTTATTATGGAGACCCATGAATCTTGCACCATAAGGGTCATGTGGCAGGGCAGAGGAAATCAGGAGAAAGATCTGGAAATCAGATTCAAATTCCACAGCATAGCATGAACCTATCACACAAACGGAAGTCTATCATAACGTTGAGAAATATCAGTAAGATGAAGCAGCAGCAATCTGTAGCCCAACGTAGTTTTTACATGGCTTACCAGTTTTTGGATCGGAGTGGAAAAGAGTTGAAAATTACGTAATTCTCCCTCTCACTTATGGATTCTCATAGCAGCTTCTGTTGAGTTCTGACTTAACAATAAGCCTGATAAAGTCTGACAGAAGTTGCTTCACTGTAGCAAGCCTAGCAATGCAGAGGTACAGAGCAGTGCAGCAGCTTTTCCAGATGATTTTTTTTCTTGTGGGAAGGGGAGGGGGAGGAAGGGGAAGGAGGATGAATCCTATTATTAATGTTGCCTTCAGCAGTATTTACATATTTAAATTAACATGTGCCTCTATAATCAGATCTAAGAGTACTTAAGCCACAACTGGCTGACTACACAGGCAACCCTGACTACAGAGCATGGCCACTCTGACACGTCATCATGTTATCATTAATGGCAGAAGCGCTGACACATTAAAGTAGCCTTCTTAGTATTTACACGTAAGAGCACATCTATGATGCAACATGATCCGACTCCCTCTGGTCAGGTTTACAAATTCTTTACACAGAAGCAGTTAAGACTCGTAGAAGCCTTGTGTTCTACATTAGCACAGACGCAGTTTTACCCTTCCTCAGCAAAAAGTACACCGCGGACTGTTTCGAACACGAGGTTTCCTTCCCCAGGGATGTCTAAAAAGAACCACCGCGCAGCCTGACCACGCGTTTGCGGCAGCAGCTATATCGGTGACCGAGCACCCAGAACGAGCGCGGCGCTTCCCCTCCTTCCAGATTACCGCTTTTGTCTGCCGCAGGCTGAAGCTCCCTCTCCTGGTCCTTAGGACACCTCATCCCAAGCACCACCTCCCCCCCATACGCCTTGCACAGAGGAAAGAGCGGGAAGGCGAGACCCACTCCCTGCCGCACAGCGCCGCGTCCCCGCCCCGCTCGTGATGAGTCATAAATGCAGCAATTAAAGCACTGAGTCAGCGCTGCGAGAGATTGCGGGGGGGAAGCACCCCCAGCCGCGCATGCGCCCATCACACGGACACCACCCCCCCCCCCCCCCCCCCCCCACCCCAGGGCCGCCCCCCGAGTGTCCCCCCGGGGGCGGGGGCCGAGCGCCCCCCCCCGCGGCGCGCGGGAGCTGCGCCACCGCCCCCCCCCTCCCCACAGCGCGGGAGGCGCGGCCCCGCCGCCGCCATCTTGTCTCGTCGCATGGCGGCGGCACGAAAATAAATAAATAACTAGAGGGGGGGAAAAAAAAAAAAAAGCAAACCCCAAAGAAGCCTCACCAAAAAAGAAAAACCAACCAACCAACAAACAAGCGAAAAACCCGGCAAGTGAAGCTCTAGCGGTTTTAGTTTTTTTTTTTTTTTCAATAGTTCCCCTCCCGCCGTCGCTTCTCTCCCCCCTCTCCTCAAGGTCCCGGACACTTCGTTACACAAAAGCCTCTCCCCATTATCCGCCGTTTACCGACAAGCAGAGGCCCCAGTCTAGCCCAAACCGCTCCCCATAGCCTCACCCCGCTGCCCTCGCCCGCCCTACTCCAGTACTAACACTCACCGTTTTCGTCCAATAAAGACATAAACCCAACGCTGCTCGCCCCGGGCTGCGACGAAGCCGATTGTGCAAGGAGAACAGGGCCGAGGGGGCGCTTATATCCAGGCGGAGAGGGAAGCGGAGGCGGACGCCGCAGCCTCCGGGTCCCGGCGTCCTGGGGCTGGCGGTATCAGCAGGGAGAGCGGCGCCGGGCAATCTGCGGGCAAGACACAATCAGGGGCATCATTAGCGGCGGCACCTGTGAGGGAGAGGGAGGAGGAGGAGGGGGGAGAAGAGGGAAAGGGGGGAGGGAGAGGCGGCGGCGGTGCGCAGCCGAGGCAGGAGGGGGCGGCGGACGGGACCCGGCAATGGCTGCCCCGTACTCACCTCTAGAATGTTCTCGCTCCGACTGAACAACGCCAGAGCTGGGATCAATCAGGCAGCGGCGCGCCCCGCCCACCGACGCCGCCATTGGCTCCCCGCTCGCCTCGGAGCGGTGCTATTGGCCGGAATCTCGCCGCTCCCACCGTCTATTGGCGAAGACTGCCATCAATCAAGGCAGCCCTGGCTTCACCTCCCGCCCCCTTCGCCCTCCCCCCTGCCAGTGCCCCAAAGGACATCGCGTCTACAGCGGCCGAGTCTCGCGAGAGAGCGCTGGACGGGCGGGGGGGGTGGGGCGGGAGCTGCGTAGGCTGAGTCAGTGTGGAGGGGCTGCGGCTGAAGGGTCAAGGCGGCTTGGGGGCTTTTGCGGGGGCTCCCAGGGGCTGTGGACGTTGTGAGGGGGCTCCGAGAGGCTGAGGGGACTCTGAAGGACTGAGGGGGCTCCTAGGGGGCCCCGAGCCCCCTCTAGCCCCACCGCACTGCCCCGTGTGCCGAGAGACTTCGCCGTCCTCGGCTGCCCCTCAGGGCTGCCCTCCCTGCCGGGGAGGCGACCGGCTGCCTGGAGGGCAGTGACCGAATGCTTGACATCACTGTAACTATGTCACAAATGATTTAAAGCAATTAAACTTCTGAATAAGTTGTGTTTTTCCTGTACATCCGGCTTTCAGGGTGCAGGGCACAGCCTGTTATTTAACTTTAGTGTCATAAAGACTCGGCGATGGGTGGCGTTGAGTGCCTGGGCTGCCTCACAAAGGATGACACAACTGTCGTATGCACATACGATATTCTTTATATAAAGTGTTGCCAGCCCTATGTAGCTGAATTGGGACCCTGGGTGAAATGCATGTTTGGATTTACATTCACGGAAAAAGCAGGAAACTTTAGTCCTTTCTTCCCTGTTACCCTTTCCCATCTTCTTCCATCTGCACTCTTGCAGTATCACAGGAACTACATATTTTGGGTATTTTAGATTGTCAATAGTGTTCAAGTGGCAAAGAACTTTTTCCTGACTTTATGAATTGATTGGTGAAGCAGCTCTCTTACCCCTCTAAACACTCCCCAGCAGAACAATGCTCCTCGGTTCCTGTCACTGTCTTACTGAATAATGTTGTAAAGCTTTTTGATGGCTCTGTGGGTGTATAGAGGAAAAGAGAGGGAGCAACAATAAAACTAGTAGTGACATTAGATAACGTTATATACTCTGAATCTCTTCCTGCCTGAAGTTAGTTTTGAAGCATAGGTTTCCTGGCTGACTTTGATATCACATCGATGTGGTCACAGGAAACACCCCTCCTGTTCAAGTTCATCTTGGAACATTTTTGGTCTGATATGCAGAAGAACTGCATTCAAATATGAAAGTGACTGATAAACAGAAATCATAAAAGCTGGGCTATCGTTCTGGACACTTCTGGTGGCACACAACAATAAAAGATCTTGTTCTCTCAGCTGGAGCAACAGAGAAAAATGTGCTCATCTCAGTGCTGTCTAACAAGACCCTCTTACGTGATGGCAGCTGCCCTCGTTACATGTCTCCTTTCAGCGTTCAGAATAGCTGGTCTTTGTAGCCAGGACACTGTCCTGTCAAGCGTCATAGAATAGTTTGGGTTGGAAGGGACCTTAAAGATCATCCCGTTCCATCCCCCCTCTATGGGCAGAGACACCTTCCACTAGACCAAGTTGCTCAAAGCCCCATCCAGCCTGGCCTTGAAAACTTCCAGGGATGGAGTCCATCTTGCGAGTTTGTCTTGGACTTCACTGTCTGCATTTGAAAAAGTTAAAAAATTCTTCAGGATATGTTATTTATCTCCTTGATAAACACACAACACTTTCTGAAATGCGAGCAAGAGCGTTAGGGCAAAATATTGAAGCATCTCCAAAAATATCTTGAGGGGAAAAAAGTCGTAAAAAAAGTGGGAGGCAAGAAAAGCACAGCAGGAAATCCTTTGCTGTGAAAATATGCTGCACATATAACTTGCTAAATGCCTCCTGTCTGTGGCTTTAGCTCCATTTTACAACACTTAGGGGGTTAATAAATTACGAGTGTTAAAGCCTATTGCTGCCAACACCACTTTAGTGAGCTGCTAAAGGGAAAAGAGACCCTGGATTTGGTGCTATTTTACATAATGAATAACTGAACAGTTACAATTAGTAGCATAAATAAAGATTTTTTTTATATATATATAGTATATAAATTGACATAATTTAGTTAAAGAGGTACCTTTTAAGATGGTATTTCTTCTGCAAAAAGCAGGCTCCATCCAAGTGAAGTCATATGACATTCTCCTGGATTATACAAATGAGACTAAAATTGTGGATTAATGATTTCTTGGTGCCTAGTTGTTGATTTTTTTCTCAATAGAAAATTCATTAGTATTAAATGTCAGATCTCAAATATTTTTTACTGAATCTTAATATTTGCAGTTTGCTCATTTAAATATTTCATAGCTTGGACGAGACAGAAAAATCTTTTCTCTCTTCCCACTTTAAAATATCATGGTTTTATGAATCCTGAAGTTCATAGTTTACATTGCTTGTGTGATCTTCAAAATACAGACCACTTACTTGTGTGTTTTGCATTTTTTTGGTAGAAACTAAGCAGGTTTTAGATATACTTTTGTAATCATGATGTTTGAAATGGCGTTAGTGAATCAGGTTTTGCAAGTGGTTTAATGTTTGAGAATAGAAAGTTTTCCACAGTGGACCTTAGGGTGCATTTGCTTATCACAGAAATGTTTTGTTATTGTTCCATTCAGCCTTGAATAATCTAAGTTTGTTCTGTGTTGCCTTAGTCAGTTTTTATTAGAAATAACAAAAAATCAGTGCCTCTGGTAATGAAGTGAAATAAAATTCTATCAAAGATCTTAATATATTTAAAATCCAAAAAAATTGGTGTTGTAATCACATGTCTTTGTATCTCTGATTGGCAACTTTTTGTCCTGTCTGTGGTTTACTCTGTGAGTTTGTCCTCTCTCAGTGACGTGTCTGGCTAATTCAGTACCCATTCAGTAACCTTGGCCTTGGAGAATGTTTTGTTTCTGCTATAAGCTCTATGTGTTATCTCCCAGGGGCTGGTTCAGAGCTCTTGTTTTGCCCAGTGCAGGCAGGAACCCTGAGCATCTGAGTAAGGGATTCCTTGTTGTGCCATCTTCACAGTTTTGGCTGTAATTTCAGTAATTTCAGGAGATGGAAGGAGGGTCAAGATTATCTATAGTTAAGTGGAATAGCCTTTCTTCCTATCTTGGCAATGTGTAGAGAAAGTTTAATTATTTACATGCCAGGTTGGAATATGCAACGTTTGGGGAAGGGTGGGTCCAAAATCCATCGGGATTTACACTGGACATTGATCAGTCACAAGGGCAGAGGTTAATTCTGGTTTTACTGTTCAGGAGCTCCACAGTCACTGCTGTTCAGCACCTCACTGGTCATCCTGGGGAGACTCACTTTGTGAAATGCTCTCCTTTCCGTGCTCTATAACACCATCATTCTTGTTAGCTATTAATAGTAGTTCAGGAGTTAGTAAACAGAGAAAAAGAAGAGAGCAAGTGTATGATGTTAGACACACATGTAGCCATTATTTAAGATAGTTGTTTTGATTGCTTCTTTAACTATACAGAAATGCTAAAATCTCCCAGCTAGTGTTTGGGTGTGAGTGCCCTGAATGTGCTCAGTGTCAGCTGACAGCACGAGGCAAGCTCTGCTCCAAATCTCTTGTTGTCCTCAATAGGCACAGTGAGGTTCCCTCTGCCCTCCCTGTATGTCTGCCTATGTAAGGGAGTCACCTCAGCAAGGGGAGGCAAACAGCTTCTCTGCAGAATATAAACTAGTATTTGATAGCAGCGAAGTCCCTGCCTTGGAGACCTGTCTTTTCTCTGTGTGTCTCAGCAGTAGGTGGATCTGCTGGCGATAGGAATCAGGGAAGCCAGGTTTCTCAGTTTGTCCAGACAGCAGCTTTGGCTACAGACCTAACTGGCAGCCAGTAGCATTATGCAGCACTCGCATGCTTGTGGTTGGCAAATCTGCCTGCTACATTTATATGGTTGCTGAAAGAAGTGGATGTGGAAGATAAGGAGTCCCTGGGAATATAGCTTCCAGCTGAGAACATGCTGTCAAAGCTACCTGCCTGTTCATTATGCCCATTAGTACCCACTGCATTTACATTTCCCTGCTACTTGTCATAGCCAGGCTTCAGAATAGCCTGTGTCATAGCACAGGCTTTCAGAATCTGCCTGTGCGTTGAGTTAAATCTCTCTTCCAGTACCGTTTTAGCAATTTACACTTTCATTTCCATTTCATTACAGAAATTGCTCAGGTCCTCTGCAGCTGTCATGTGCTTTGCCAACACCTTCACAGATTAATCCTCTTTCATCCTCTTTCTCTGGCTTCTGATTGTCTGGCAACCAGTGCTGTGATTATCAGTATTGATTTCCCAGCAGATGTGAACTCTTAAGTAGTAACAAACAGTAATGAGGTATTAGAGTTACCTGTTGGCTTTCTACTTTTTCTAAGAGGAAGGTGTGGCAGCCCCTGGTACTGAGACCCTATCTCCAAACTTCCTCCCAGTCTGGGGAGACCTTGAAGATCTTAAGTGCTCTTAAAGCCCTTCTCCTGTGAGCATAAATATGGCTGCTGAGCTTGTTTTGGGGGGTCTGCACTGCTGGTTACAGCATATTTAGCTCATCTGTTCTACTCATTCGAGCATGGAGGAGTTTCTTTGCTTTAGAGCAATACAAGGGCATTGCTGGGAGGGCTCTCGTTTGGAGGCAGTACTGAGGCCCAGCCAGGCATGATGTTTGTGCTTCTGCTGGCAGATCTAGAAGAGTAGAAGGTATCCCTGATGCTTGTGCTGAAAGCAAAAGAAAAGGCTGTTTTGAAGGCAAAGGAAAATCTTTGTATTCTCCAAAACAAAACCTTTGAAGGTGCTGCTTGCCTGGAAGGGCAGAGCTG